GTATATTTCCATATAATAAATAAAGATTCAAAATAATAAAATACATCATAATGAGGAATCCCTAATATATAGTAAATATCATTAAGTCTAAAATTAGGCTTATTTTCAAGTCTAGGAAAACCAGATATCCAGTTTGAGCTTAGCTTTACCATAAAGTTGGAAAAGGTGATTGTGTATAAACGAATAAAGTTATATGTATACAGTATGTAGATACATATATGTATACAGAAGGGAGAAGGACCTTTTACCCCAAAAAAGGGGAAAAAGAAAATCCTTCATTCAACCCTTTTGGACTGAGGGTTTTAAGTTGATAAATCCAGAAACACTCTCTCTGTCTCAAAAACCTGTCATAATCACTCCTCCTTGCGTTCTTTTTAACGAATTCCAGGCCACAGAAAAGTAACCCCTTAGAATTCCCTCCGTGATATTCACGCAGGTGCCTTGATATTGGGTTATCTATTAGATTTTTTGGAGATCTAATGTGTTCCTGGATTCGTTTTCTAAAAAGGCGAAAGGTTTTTCCAACATACTTTCGATCACATTGGCAAGTCAGCAGGTAAACAAGTCCTGCTCTATTACAATTGAAAAGGGAGACTATTTCAAAAGATTCTTGATTTGCACTATCCTAGACTCTTTTGGAGTCCCTTTTTATAAATTTACACGAGACACATCTGCCGCATCCATAGGTGCCAGTAACAGTATTATGAAGCCAAGTTTTGGTTGGAAATGATCTAGTTTGTAGATGGCTTGGGGCAAGGATGTCACAAATAATTTTTTCCCCGGCGTGCTGTGAGAGTGTTTCTGGATTTAGCAACTTAAAACCCTCAGTCCAAAAGGGTTGAATGAAGGATTTTCATTTTCCCCTTTTTTGGGGTAAAAGGTCATTCTTTCTGCTGTATACATATATGTATCTACATACTGTATACATATAACTTTATTCGTTTATACACAATCACCTTTTCCAACTTTATGGTAAAGCTAAGCTCAAACTGGATATCTCGTTTTCCTAGACTTGAAAATAAGCCTAATTTTAGACTTAATGATATTTACTATATATTAGGGATTCCTCATTATGATGTATTTTATTATTTTGAATCTTTATTTATTATATGGAAATATACCTTTAAATAACGAGTCTATGTCAGTGTTGCTCCCTTTTATTGACTATGGGGAGCTATATATGCTTTATTCAAATACAGTTTGGGTCCTTTTTGAGTTTATCTTTTGATTGTATACTTGTGTTAGTTGATAGCTTTTTTATAAGTATACAACTAAGTGCTTATTTGGGGATAGTATACTGATTGTTCGCCCTTTGGGTAGTGTGTTATTGTATTATAACTTTACCAACTAGCCCTTTGAATCACATTTGGTACACCTCTATCTGGGAATAAGACATATATTTATGTGTTAAAGCACTGTCCCTCTACGCATAGGTGTACATTGGCTCATGTTGATAGGATTTACCTGTCTCTTAGTCTTTACTTTGGATTACTGTCAGCAAATTCCATGAGGTTTCCCCTTTTTAACCAAGTATACACTTTGCACGATTTCTTTTCACTTTTTTTTATTCTTATGTCGTATAACGCAATAAAGGTAAAGTTTATTCGATTTATTAGATTATTACTTATTTTTCATTATTTGTTCTTTTTTTGAGCTGTATACTGTATTTGGGTAAGATCTGCATCTGTGCGGTGGTGTGGGGCACCAAGACTAAGTCTGGTGGCCTCTTCCCGTTTCGCACAGTTACACAGTACTTGTTTTTCTTTTCTTTGTTGAATTATATATGGGGTTATGCACCTCTCTTACCCATTTAGTCCATTCTCTGACCATTGGGCTAACAATTGTTAGACCCTTTAGTCTTTTTCTTTTGTGCTTTCATTAGGAATATATTTATTAAACAGTGACGATTTTGTGTTTATCTGGCAGTGGATTGTCCCTTTGATCACAAAATAATGGGGAGCCCTCTTTAAATGGACTCTCAAGTGCCAGGAAAACAAACATGCTTTCCTGGCACTGCAGAATCCTGCAGTGCCCCTCTCCCTCCTGTCCCCCATCCCATGTTGCTGAAAAGGTTAAAACCCTTTCAGACACTTACCTGAATCCAGCACCGTCCCTCAGCGCTGGGTCAGCCTCCGCCCAAGCTCCTCCCCCGCCAATGTCAGCCGGCGGGGGAGACCTAATGCGCATGCAGGGCATTGAATAATGCTTTCCTATGGGGATTTCGGCAACGCTTGAGGTCCTCATGCATAACGTGAGGACGTCCAGTGTCTTTAATACACTTTTCGTGTTTTAAGAAGCCGGAAGTGCCTCTATTATTATGTTTTTATTTATATAGCGCCAAAAAATTCCGCAATGCTTTACAGTGGGTGGACGAACAAACATTTAGTTGTAACTAGACAAGTTGGGCACACAGGAACAGAGGGGTTGAGGGCCCTGCTCAATATGCTTACATGCTAGAGGGAGTGGGATAAGGTGACACAAAAGGTAAGGATAGTATTAGACTAATGACAGTTGCAAGAGAGGAATCAGTCAGGAGCTATCACTAGAGGAGGACTTAATCCTGCAAGGTAATTATTGCAGTTTATAAAAACCGCAATAATTACACTTGCAGGGTGTGATGGGAGTTGGGCAGAAGTGGACTTGGTGCCTGGAGTGTCCCTTTAAATAACACATATTTTGAATGTTAATTAGAACATAACTTTTATTGTTAATTACATTAAAATAATCTACCCACGTGAAAACAAGAGGAAATAAACAAAACCAAAGGAATCAGGCATATACTAATACAAATAAAGCCAGTTAGAGCTCCTTTCTAGGATCAGAAATGTATTGAATGCAAAGTGTCAATGTTTTGTGTCTATTTCCCCAACTGCAAAACTTGTATCTTGCACTGAGACATATACAAGTGGATACAAACAGATTGACTAAGTAGTACATTCTCTGTGAAATTTATCAGCTATTGCTGGAATGGTGTGGCAATGAACTGCTTAAACCTAAATAAAATAAATGAATGCTGTCTATAATAAACCTGCCTGATATCGGAAAATTATGTATGTACACTATAAAACAGAGAAACTGGTGAGAGTAAAAGAAATAGAAGGTTGCCTGACAGATGGAAAATGGGATTGGAAAAATCAGAGATGCAAAGCAATAAATAGGAGCTCCAGGTGTACGTAGCCGTCATTCACCAAGCTACCCGATATTCCTTATGCAATCCCTATGTACGATCTGTCTCATATCAGATAACCCCTAAGTGTAGGTTAGTTCATAAATAAAACAATTTTGTTGGAAATATAACTTTATCATAATGGAATAAGCTACTCCACTCCCTCTAGCATGGGAACTCAACCTCTCTTTTCCTGTGCGTCCAACTTGTCTGGTTACAATTACATGTCTGTTAGTCCACCCATTGTACAGCACTACAGAATTTGCTGGCACTATATAAATAACAAAATAATAATAATAATAATAATAATAATAAACAACTGCTTCTCACAGTATGGCACCCAGATCTGTGACCTAAAATAATGGTGGCAGTTGTACAACTACAACCATTTACTACTACTGGGAGATGCAGTTCCTCAACAGATGTGGGTGACTACTCTGCCATAAAAACTTTCTGAGCTTTTCTTTGGCCTTCTGCAATGGTAAGAGGTAAAATTATATGAAACAATAATGGTAATAGAATAAATCTAACACGTTTACCTTTGCTGTATTATATAATGACTTGGATCAATGTAACTAATGATATCAGGTGATATTTAAATAATTACATACAGGGACATATTTAATGGGCATCTGACACTTTCACTGACTGGCACGTGATTCCTGGCACAGGTTTGGATAATTACATAAGAGAAGTATGCAAACTGCAGAACACGGTGTTAAGCGTGTCACAGATGTTTGTTCATTGTTTGGTATGATTATATAAGTTAGTTGAGCAATGCAAAGACACAAACTATGGAATGATACAGTGCTGCTTAGAAAAGCAACAAACCCTCTAATTCAAACTAAATGTAGAAAATTTAGAACAAAAAAATAAATAGCAATGCAAATAATAAGAATATATTAAATTAATGGTAACAGAGAATCATATCGGGATATATAACAGGTACTAAAACAGAAGACACAAACTGATTTTGGACTACAGTCTGTTTTTCTTTTGACACTGTGAACTATATGAAATGAAAATAACACAGAAATAACACCAGATAGTGTAATACTGTATTGTAAAAAAGGTGTATTATTAAATAATTAGAAATACACTCACAACTAGCTCGCTTTAATTAGCAGATGATAGTTCAAGATAAATTAATAGTAAGATTGGTTTCTTGGTATATTTAAATTCTTTATTTTGAAAGTGCAAGCTTGAACATGTATGCAGGCAGTGCCATGACAACAGCTGCGTGCACAGCAGTTAAGGACAGATTATGACAGTGGTATGGCATACTGTTTTATATTGCTAACTGCGTGTTTGATCCACTAAGGTGCAGGCTCTGTTCAGGAATGAGAGTGCTCAAAATGACATATTACAATGCACAACATAAGCCAATGTTATGGACAGTAGTGTGAGCTAGTGGATGAGAGATTTGTATGATGAGAGTAAAAATTGAAAAAGAAAATAAAAATTAAAAGAACGGTGTATACGAGCAGTGGAGACAGATCCCGCGATCCCTGTGAGAGATGGTGTAGGGTGTAACATGGAGTTGAAGGGTATCGCGGGTCATGTACCTCCTGCTACTTATAAGAGTAAGCATGTGGGGCAGTAGTTTGGCAAGAGGGTGACACTCACGTCGCTCAGTATTAGCGCTACTGCAAGAGAGGCGGGTGAGTGGAGGGGGGGATAAAGGGAGTGTACTCCCTATGCCAGAGGGAGTATGAAGGTAGAGGAACGCATCCCAATGAGTGGACATTACGGTATGATCATGTCGGTGCAGAGGTTCAGTGTGGTTACGTTAAACTTAAAAATCAAAAGAGAATAATAAAACCCAAAAAACAATCTATAACAGGAACCGGACAGAGTCACTGCTTGCGGTCTTTGGCAGTTCAGGGCACAGCAGCAGTACGTTAGGAATAAATGGGCGGACTCTCGAGGGGTCCCAGGTATATGGCTGTGTGACCGGAGCAGGGGTCGGTGATCCCTCTGAGGTAGCAGGCGGCCCGAGTTTCTGTAGAGTGTTGGGTATTTCTGTATCTTCCAGCACTTTCAATGTCTCGGATTCATGCGGGATCAGAAGGCTCCTTGGTGCTCCCCATCTATGAGGCACCTTGTATTTTGTAAGTACTACAGTAAGGGTTCTCAGGGACCTTCTCCAGTCTCTGGAGAGATCCGGGTAGAATGTCAGCTGATGATCTTCAAAGGTGTAGGACGACTTGTTGCAGGTGGCGGTCATGAACACCTGTTTGTCGGGACCGTTTTGGAAGCGAATAATGACGTCCCTGTGCGCTCCTGTAACGCTTGCGGGTGGAGCTGGGAGTCTGTAAGAGCCATCCAGTGTCAGCAGTTTGGCTTGTTTGGCGGAGAATAATTGGGTCAGAAGCCTCGGGATCGGTTGAGGTATTTCAGCCATGGCGCTAGTGTCTGGAAGGCCGCGGTCCTTTACATTCTTCCACCGCCTCCAGTCCTCCATTGTGGCCATGTGGTGTTGTGTCTTTGCCTGTTCGCACCTCAGCGTGGAGAGTTCCTGCTCTAGTGTTGTAAGCCGTGTCTCATGGCCTGCCGTGGTCACCTCTGTATCATGTTGACGGGCCGAGACTCCGCTGATTTCTTCTCTGAATGCAGAGATGTCGGTAATGATATTGCGGCGTAACTCGTCTAGAAGGGTGTCTTCTGTCACTGGCTCCCCAGATTTTCGGTCTGACGGTTTATCAGCCTGCTTACTTCTTGTCAGTGTCTCCAGCTCTCTCAGATCACTGAGGGATGTTTTGCTGGATGAACATGATGGCCCATCCTCGAGAGGTGCCATGACAGGTCTCGTGGAGCTTTGGGGCCTCGAGAGGAGATCGTCACTATTGGCGGTTGTCGGGGGCTTATCTGCCCTGTATTTCTTCGATTTATGCCCCTTGATAAGCAGTAGCTTGCTGTTGGGCAGGGTTTTTGGGTCCAAACTGGATATTTAGCCTCTTTCAGTTGTCGGTGTAGCCGGAGCTCCTGCAGGATGCGTCCGTTCAGTTAGGCAGCTGGCTCCCCCCCCCGGTTTCTTGGTATAAGTGTTTTCACTGGTAATATAGAAATAAAGCAGAGACAGTGAGCACCAATAGTGCAATTCAATTGGACAAAAATAGAACTTTAAAGAAATATATGAAAAACACACTCACAAATAAAGAGCTATCCAAGCAGCTCGTAGTTAGTAGCCTGAAGCAGTACAATCCCCGCTCTAAGGATATAGTTGTTGGTGTTTATAAATCCACATTGTAGTATGTAAAATACAAAAAAATTGAAAAAATAGTGCTCTCTATATACAGCAATTTATATAAGGGTTGGTGGAAGAAATGTACTTACATGTGTTGGAGCACCAGTATGCTTTATAAAGTCAGTCAGGGTGGTACATAGTTACATAGGCTGAAAAGAGACATGTCCATCAAGTTCAGCCTTCCTTTTTATATGGAAAAGTGCTGCAGTGCTGGCGAAGGTCCTCAATGTAACTAAGGCGGCCAATAAAAAAAACTCAGTATAAAAGCGGGTCTGATAGAGCTAAATCTAAAATGTGTTACCAAACTATAAAAACTGAAAACAAAGCAGTATAATCACAACACGTTTTGCCAGTTAGACTTTTTCAAGTGACACTATCTACATTGTCACTTGAAAAAGCCTAACTGGCGAAACTTTAGTTCAGCATTGGTACGCACCCCTCATAGTAGCTGCTAAGCCTCAAAAATAATTTCTCATGACTTTTGTACAGCCCACTTATATATATAATTATAGACGGTCTCTTTGGACCAAAACCACTTCATTAAAATGACGTGTTTATGGTATTTAGACTGTCCCTTGAAGATAAACCTGTATTTTTTTGCATAGACTGTTGTTCGCTAATGTATATTTACATTTAAACACACACATGCCATCAAATTAGTTTAAATATAAAATAGATTAAGATACATCTTTAGAGATTCAACCAGTGGGCCCTTGCCAATACACACGAGAAAATGTTTGTCAGTGAATTATAACACAACACTTCTTGTTTCCGTATGTCTTCTTTACAGAATTAACATCTAAGATTTTTATCACTAGACAGTAGATTTCCGCCATTGGACAACATTTGCATATATTCTCAAATTCAGCTTCCTGGGTTAACTTTCGTCAACTCATTAAAAGAACACTCCAAGCACAATAACTACTACAGACAACTGCAGTGGTTGTGGTGCCACAAGTGCACTGGCGCCCTCCCAGAATATTTTGACAATTTTATTTGGGTCTCACAGGGCCAGCTGTAGCCTCCACTGCTGCCTGGTTTTAAGTTCTTGTCATGTTTGCTATGGAATCTATTTTGGGGTTCACTTCTTTTTGCCTCCTTGACTTAAATTATCATTTAACACAATTAAACGGTACCTTACGGATATCCAACACCACAAGCTCCTACAACACCCCAACAATACAGTATTCCTTTTCATCTTATCTGATAAAGACCTACTGAAAGGAATTCAAATCCAAGACACATGTACCATCTCAAAGGCTACTCATCTACACGGCATATTCATTCACTCTCCGACTTAGTAGATTCAGCTCATGTTGAGCACATGACCATACGACAATCAAACGGCCATACATCTAGCATGCTATGGGTTCTTAGGTCCCATGCATTTACCACTCAAAATATAACTACCACTGAATACCTGGGAACGACTGATATCCAGACACCTTAGACCATTAGGTCCTATCTCTGCTTCAGTCTATACCTATCCCTATAGCCATATGGTCACCATACCCGTATTACCTACTCTAAACAATGGTGCCCGGTAAAGTTCGGGATACTTATTGCACCACTTTACAGATACAACCACTCCGACCATTATTAGAACGTCATGGCTCCATTCTTACAGCATCTTAAGTCATGCTTTATGTTCATTTACTGTGAACTAGGCTTGGCCAAATACAAACCTTTCATTAGGACACTCCTTCCGCATAGGGGCAGCATTCTCAGCTTCCTCCAACCACATTCCAGCTCATGCCATCGGGGCTATGGGACGCTGGAGGTTCTCTGCCTATACTCTTTACATTCCGAACCCAGTTAAAGAGGTAATACAAGCTTTTTGTGACTTGTCCAAATAAACGATGGTTGTTATATGATTATTTTGTATGGTATTCTTCTTTTTGCCCACTTTTATTACAGATCTACTGCTCTGTCGGTTCCGGCATACCACAACCGACTGGTGTCATTTGAATATTATTATTATTATTATGATATTTATAGAGCGCCGTCAACTTCTGCAGCACTTTACAATGGGTGGACGAACAGACATGTAGTTGTAACCAGACAAGTTGGACACACAGGAGCAGAGGGGTTGAGGGCCCTGCTCAATGAGCTTACATGCTAGAGGGAGTGGGGTAAAATGACACAAAAAGGTAAGGATAGTATAAGACTAATGACAGTTGCAGAAGAGGAATCAGTCAGGAGCTATTAACAGTTTAATTGATATGCTTTTATGAAGAAGTGGTTTTTTAACCATTTTTTGAAGGAGTGGAGACTGGGTGAGCATCTAACGGAGGAGGGAAGTGAGTTCCACAGGAACGGTGCAGTCCTCGAGAAATCTTGAAGGCGAGCATCAGAGGTGGGAGTACGAACAGAAGATAGACGTAAGTCTTCAGCAGATTGTAAGGGCCTAGACAGGACATACTTGTGTATAAGGGAGGATAGATAGGTGGGAGCAGCATTATGTAGAGATTTGAAAGCAAGAACCAGAATTTTAAATTGAGTTCTATATTTTATAGGAAGCCAATGTAGGGACTGACAGAAGGGTGAGGCATGGGAGGTGCGGGCGGACAGGAAGATGAGCCTCGCCACCGCATTCATTATGGACTGTAACGGCGCTAGTTGGGAGCACGTAAGACCACTGAGAAGCGGATTACAGTAGTCAAGGCGAGAAAGGACCAACACCTTAGTCGCATCTGGTGTTAAGTAGGGGCGGATGCGCCTAATGTTTTTGAGATGGAAATGACAGGATTTGGCGATAGATTGAACATGAGGCTTGAAGGAGAGATCGGAGTCAAAGAGAACACCTAGGCAGCGAGCCTGCGTGGCTGCGTGGTGGAGCTGATGGTAGCACCGTGGACTTGGAGGGAGACAGACACAGGAGTAACAACACTTGAGGGAGGAAAGACCAGAATTTCAGTTTTAGTCAAATTTAGTTTAAGGAAGTGGGCAGCCATCCAGTTAGAAACAGCAGAGAGGCAGTCAGAGACACTAGTCAAGAGGGACAGGTAGATTTGCGTGTCATCTGCATAGAAATGATATTGGAAGCCAAAGGAGCTAATGAGTTTACCAAGGGAGTGTCACGGTTCTCACCGCAGCAGACAGACAGCCAGACGAGGTTGCCCATGGAGTTCCCAACAAGGGACTTGAACCGGGGAACTTCACAGATCTGGTCCTGCTTCCTACCTCTGAACCACAACAGCTTTTGTTATCAACTAGTCAGTCCGGTCCTGTTCATCCTGGCATGTCTATTTCTCTGGGGGCTGTACCTTGACATTGGCTGTGCTTCACCTGACCCTGATCAGACATCAGCAGGGTATTTAAACTCAGCCTCGCCCTGTGATCAGGATCAAGTCTTTGATCCTGTTGTGTGTTTCGTACCAGTGTTCCTGTTGTTTGATCTTCTACTTATTATTGACCCCAGCTTCAGTCTACGTTTACTCTGACCTCTGGCATCCCTTGACTTCGGCTACCCCTCGTTGTTCCTGTCCTCTGGCATCCTTTGACCTCAGCTATCCCTTGACGATCCTGCTGTTTGAGTCCTTGCCTGTCCTGCGACTTGGTACTTCATCCTGCTCAGCCTCTATGCACAGCTCCACAGGCCGGGTGAATTCTTACCTGACCACCTTGGCTTGTGGCTATCTGCAAGGGTGAGCAACATATCTGCGCTAAAGACTCCCAACCCAGGTAAGACCCTGACAGGGAGGCAGTATAGATGGAGAACAGTAGGTGACCAAAGTCTGAATCTTGGGGGACACCAACAGAGAGGAGTTGGGGAGAAGAAGCAGAGCCAGAGAAAGAAACACTGAAAGAGCGCTGGGAGAGGTAGGAGGAGCACCAGGAGAGAGCAGTATCTTGTAGACCGGAGGATGAGAAGAAGCTGTTGATGATCAACAGTGTCAAAAGCCGTAGACAGGTCAAGGAGAATTAGGATAGAGTAGTGACCACGAGAGTTTGCAGCGAGTAGATAATTGGATACTTTGGTCAGTGCCGTTTCCACAGAGTGTTTAGCGCGGAAACCAGACTGAAGCGGGTCTAGCAGAGAGTTGGACTCTAGGAAGTCTGTAAATCTCGCATATACAATTTTTTCAAGGATCTTGGATGCAAAAGGCAGTAGCGAGATAGGACGATAGTTGAATGGGGAGTTAGGGTCAAGATTGGGCTTCTTTAGAATTGGGGTTACAGTTGCATGTTTGAAGGGCAATGGAAATATACCAGAGGAGAGAGAGAGATTGAGAATTTTAGTGAGAGGTGGAGAAAGAGAAGAAGACAGAGTACGGATGAGGTGCGAGGGAATTGGATCTAGGGAGCAGGTGGTGGGGCGGGAGGACTGGAGCAGAGCAGAAACCTCTTCCAATGTAGCGGGTGCAAATGAACATAGAACAGCAGAGGGAGTGATGTTAGGGGAAGTATTGTAAGGGGAAGAAGAAAGATGAGATATCTCTTCTCTGATTGTAGAGATCTTGTCAGTGAAGTGAGTTGCAAAGTCTGAGGCGGTCAAGTTAGTAGGTGGAAGAGGAACAGCAGGGCAAAGAAGAGAGTTAAATGTGTGAAAT